CTCAGGTTTATAGTTAGGGCTGACTCAGGTTTATAGTTAGGGCTGGTTCAGGTTTATAGTTAGGGCTGGCTCAGGTTTGCCTTAGACCAGCCCCTAGGTACTGTCGGGGGACTTCCTAGGATACACTGAGCTCCTCTCTCCTCTTCTTCATCTCCTTTTGTATGAATTCATGTCCCATTAATGCTCATTACTAACTTTACTTCTTCTTTCTTCTCTCTGCTTTCTCTCTTCACAGGTTCCATGGATCGTGGTTATACCTGGACCCTGGTCCTTCCCCCTGCCGTGGCCCTGCTGACACCTGCTGCTCGTACTATTATTATTAGTAGTCGTATTGCTATTGCCGATACCATTACTGCTTTTGTTATCATTGTTATTCTACTGTATCCACTTCTGCTGTTATTATTAGTAGTCGTAATTTTCTCATCATTATTATGCTTACTACTCTCATTATAAGTCATATGCATTGAATGTGTTGTAACTCTGTGATGTTGTTCATTCTGTACACATGACATCTATCACACTTCTGTCCATCCTGATAGAGGATCCTCCTCTGTTGCTCTCTAAGGATCTTTCTTTCTTTTCTCCCTGTTAGAGGTTTTTGGGAGAGTTCTTCCTGTTCCGATGTGAGGGTCCGGGGACAGAGGATGTCGTATGTGTCCAGATTGTAAAGCCCTCTGAGGCAAATTTGTGATTTTGGGCTATAAAAAATGAATTGAATTGAATTGAATTTATATATCCATGGTTGCGATGGACAGACCTCAGTTGCATAAAGTTGAGGTCGAGTCATGATTGTGCGAATGTATCCATCCTGCTACGCCCAGCTGGATCTCCTGCTCTCCATAGAAAATGAGTAGACTTCCCAACGGATCCAGTGTATCTCCACCTTCAGGATGTGCACAACCAATACTCCACCTAATGGACACAGCATTTGCGAGGCAGCCATCGTGCAAATGTGTAGTTAAAAGCAAGTACATCTCTGACTTTAGGGCAGCAGTGCCTTGCTCAAGGTCACCTCTGCAGTGCTGGCGGTTTCCAGGAGGTGGACTGGCAAGTCTCCAGTTACCAGTCCAAACTCTATGGTCCAGCAGCCGCCACACAAGGTACTGTATATGGGTGTGTGTTTGTGAAAGTGCACATGTCAGTGTTTATGTGATTATGTATGTGAGGACCTTGAAGGACTGGACGAAGGTCCACAGCAGGATGCGGATGGTGTAGCCCTGCCTCAGCAGCTTGATGAGCCGAGCAGCTCTGAACAGCCTCAGGAAGCTCAGGTTCAGCAGCCTGTCCTGTTAGACACAGACGGGACATCAGATACCCTCAGAACTTCAGCTGGTTACAAAGTAGCACACGGTGACATGCTGACTCCCTTTGACAAGTGTGATTGAGTAGAACCATACAAGGCCCAGCTGTCAAGACATTAAGAGACATTAACGATCCAATCACAGGCCTCAGATGAATTCTGTCACATTAACAACAAAGCTAACCAAATAAAACATCTTATTGTGTTGATGCTTTAGTCATGTGGTTACTCATTTGTGTCGTTAATCATGTATTGCATTAATTCACAGTTTGTTTCTGCATTTGTGAATTTAGTTAAACTATTTATACATCACAACTACGACTCTCCAGTAATCTGGGTCCAAGGTTAAGATGTAAAGAAGGCATTCATCAGTTCAACCATATGCTTTGCAGAGATAACAGTCTACAAGGTTCCAATAGATGAATCAAATCTTGTTTTATACTCAAATGAATTGTATCTGCAGCTGAATTGTGCATCAGCGATTTACGCATGAATCTCTGATGCAACCAGATAGTTACGTTTGCAATTTGTTTTGAGTCGATCCTAAAACGATACTGACATGCCCATGTGTACATTGAAAGAGTTTTTTCTGCTCATGCACACTGCCTGCAAAGTAGTCGCTTCATAAAGCCATTTATGTGACGGGGATAAGAATCCACAGCCCACATTCTGCATAAAGTCTTTTAGTATAAAATGTCTGCTTGGCATCACTACCGCTCCGCTGAAGCTCAGCAAAGAAGTACTGTTGGTGGAAACCCAAAGTGGGGATTTTATTATTCCATCTTTTAATCTGAAACAGATCAAACAGTCACTGAACATCATGCTTTGAAACTAAAGCACACATAAGGCACATTTGCTGCTTCCAATGCATCTAACAGACACACACAGACACACAGACACACAATGTGAACCAAGCGGTTCATCCACTCTGGGTTAACGACGTCATCCTTAAAAGAATGGCCTGATTAGAAAGAAAGCCTGCAGACTGTTAGCCCATCACTATGCTCTGGCACACCCAAGAAGGAGTACATTCTAATGTCATGTACTAAGCTCATTAAAACATGCTGACCCACATGACACCAACCCAGCTCATGCTGTGGGCCTCAAAGGAGCACTCCACTGATTCAACATTTCAACATCAGAAAACAGTTGTCTTTGGCTGTGAAGGAGCTGCGTCACCAAGCATCACTGATGTTAACAGAGTCCACCTCCTCTCGTCCCACTGAAGTCCTGCGAGCAGCTTGATCCGGGAGGCCACGATGGAGCCAGGTCTCTGTAAAGATGTGGGCTCAACAGTCACCAACCTCCCATTGCTGGGTTAGCCTAATTCCCTGTGACCGTACACTAGCCAGAAGCATATTGGGTGGTGGAAGAGCTTTAGGTCCTATCTGGGTTAGCTTAGGGAAAACTCTGGATTCTATACCAGGAGGCAGTCTACTGGGTGAGAGGACAGCAAGGGCCCACAGAGCATGTTGGAGGCTGCACACCTCCTGTCGTCCCTCTGGTTCTCCAACACACTCTGCGGGCGCTTGCTTGAGTCTTAGCCACCTGGCTCTCTCCCACAGCCCCTAAACAGGCTCCAGAAAGCCCCGCTGTGCACTGATGGCAGGGGCTACCATGCAAGGTGTTACCTGCCCATCAGGACCAACTATCTCATTCATACACATTCATAAATCACTTCGGGGTTAGTGTCTTGCTCAAGGACACATCCACACGTGGATCAATCCGCCGATCTTCTGATAGAAAGACGGCCTGCTCTGAGCCACAGCTGCCCGAGTAGGGGCGGGTCTTCATTTTCAGACTTCAGACCAAAACAAGCGGAGCTCGTAAGAAAGACAGGCACTGACCAGACAACCATCTCTGGCAAAGTCTGACACACACTGGTCCCCCCTACAGGCATATTGGAGTGCAGGCTATCTGTTGTCATTAATTGCACAAGTATTCATTTCCAGCTTTTCAGTGTAGCTCCTCTTTGCTACCCTGATCTCCCTCGTCAGTATGTTCCTGGTCTGGTTACAGGATCCTGTCCCCACCTCTGTAGGCCTCCTCCTTAGCCCGACCAAGCTGACTGAGTCTTGCAGTAAACCAGGTTTATTGTTGTTGTATGTGCAGAAGGTTTTAGTCGGCACACACATGTCCTCACAAAGACTGATGTACGATGTCACAGTGTCAGTGAGCCCATCCAGGTCTGTAGCAGCAGCCTCACAAACACTCCAATCAGTGCAGACAAAGCAGGACTGTAGCTCCAGCTTTGCCTCGTTGGTCCATCTCCTCACAGTCTTCACCTCAGGCTTTGCAGATTTTAGTTCCTGCCTGTAGGTCGGGAGAAGATGAACCAGACAGTGATCAGAGAGTCCCAGAGCTGAACGGGGTACTGAGCGGTATGCGTCCTTTATACAGTGTAGCAGTGGTCCAGTGTGTTTTTGTCCCTGGTGCTACACTTAATATGCTGTCTGTATTTAGGCAGTTCTTTGCAGAGGTTTGCTCTGTTGAAGTCCCCAAGAACAATGAGCAGGGAGTCTGGGTGTTTGTGCTCCGTGTTGGTGATCTGCTCAGCAGGTGTTGGAGCGCCTCACTCACAGGCCTGAGGAGGTAGACACCGACCAGGATGAACGAGGAAAACTCCCGCGGTGAATAAAAAGGTTTACAGTCTTTGAAAAGTGTTTCTAGGTGAGGGCTGCATGATTCCTTTAACACTGTGACATCAGTACACCAACCTTTGTTAATATAGAAGCAGATTCCGCCTCCCCTCGTTTTCCCCGACGGAGCCGTTATGCGGTCCGCTCGGAGGAGTTGGAGGCCCGGCAGATGTAGTGCGCTGTCCGGGATGTGCTCACCGAGCCAGCTTTCAGTGAAGCACATGGCGGCGGATCTGCTAAAGTCCGTGTTTGCTTTATTGAGGAGCAGCAGTTCATCCATCTTGATGGCCAGAGAGCGGACATTCGCCAGATGGATTGATGGAAGTGCAGTTCACAATCCCCACTGACGCAGTTTAACGACTGCTCCTGCTCGCTTCCCCCGTCAGCAGAGCCGCTGCTCCTCCAACTAAAAGCTCTGGAAAACTTTCCGGTTCAATGAAAAGCAGCGAACAAGTCTGGCCAGTGGATTATCAGATGTTTAAACGTTCCTTCTTGCTGAATGTGGTCAGAGAAAATGTTTTCAAAAACAGAAAAAGTACCAGAGCGCAATACCAAGGCCGCCATCCACTGCGCCACCTGGATCTTCATTCATGCAGCTGGCATGGATGAAGATAGGAGGGAGTCCTGCTCTGGGTATTGTGGTTGTATTGGTATCATTATTCCTCCCATTTACCACAAGGGGGCAATATGTTTATAGACAGATCTGACATCAGATGAATATCCTCAACAACAATTGGCTCATCCAGCTTTGTTCTTTGTACATAAGAAATGATAGATACAGTATTGAGTTCAGACTTGTGCTGCATTGAACATGTTACAGACATGTTACAGATCTGACCTCGTCAGACTACCATTGAGACTCGTATATAAAAGTGATTTGAGGTACTATTTCCATCACATGTGTGTATGTGTGTTTGAAAGGGGTAAAGTCAAGAGATCTGGGCCTTTCAACCATCCGATTTTGAGTTTGTCTCTCACTTCATGACAGGGCAATACTAACTTGATGGAGTACACATTCAAAAGACCATAACATCTTATATATTAAAGCGTTTAGAGCAGAACATGGCAACAGAAAGCCACTCACCGTAGTCTGGTGGTGTTTGGGACCAGGGCATGGCAACACCGGGGATGACAATCAACAAGATGGAAATGTAGAGGGAGAGAGAGACAGGCAGCAGAGGAAGATGAGGAGAAAGGATGGAGAGGCAGGAGAACAGGAACAGTCATATTGCACGACATTAACTGATACAGTTCAACAGATACACACATCAGTGGCGGCCGCTGACAGGATGAGAAGCACACTGCGTAGCGTCATGCATGCATACATGGGTTTGTGTTTATTTTGTAAATCCTTTCATCAGGAAAGCATTTAAAAAGCTTTTAAGTTATATTTTTTACTTCACTACTTGGCACTTATTTTTTATTTTCTTATGTTCAATAAAAAAATGAAGCATAAAACAGTGACTCACACAGTTTCTTAACAATGATTGCAGGCTGGGTGACAATGACTCCTTGTGTGTGTAATGTGTCAGTTAGCTGCGCTGCTCCTTCAGGGCTGCTACAAGCTAACTGTTGCATTGGCTAATGAAAGTATGTTAGCGAGCTACTGCTCAATAAAAGGAGAATTGGACTCTGTTGTAAAGGCCCAACAAGAGTCCAATGAAAACAATATGAAGTCAAATGGATGTTTTTTGAGCAATGAGTTTAAAAGTAGTTCACAAGAATTTATTTTCTAATATGTTACTATCGCTCTAACTTTGTCTTTAAGCTGTACTTCCAGTTTGCCACTTTCAATACAGAGGTGGGCAGATGACGTCCTACCTCAGAGCGTCATTTTCTTATTTTGTTTTGGCCAATCACAGATCAGCATGAAAATAACAATCCCAAAAGCTGAGTTTTATACTCGCCACGGTGAAGAACAACGACAGCTTGCAAGTTGTCGTGGTGCTTGTTTGTGCACCTCTGAACAAGGTGCTCGCTGCGTGCGCTCAGAGCTTCATCAGACGTGACGGTTTCAACTAGTTTACTGATAAAACTCTATTAACCCGTCTGAAGAGTTTATAAATGTTTAGTAACAGGAGGGCTTTTAAAAATCTACATTTGGGTAAATATGTTTCCAGTCAGATCTAATTATTTAAAGGATATTCAACCATTGTTTAATTGAATGCATTTAATACTTGACTCCTTTCTTCACAGGGCTTGGATAAAGACCATTAAGTACTCCATGAATATGAGATATGAGTTTACACTTTATGTTGGTTTATGGTATTTTGCCGCTTACACTCGTTGTCTTCTTGCTCCTTCACAGTACATTTTGTTTGTACGCCTTCTGGCCTTTTGGAGAATAATGTAACAAACACTATGTTGAACAACAAGGCCTCTGTGCGTGCTCGTAGCGTTCGCCATCCGCGGAGGCTGCGGTGCCAGCGCGAGTATACAGAAAGCTTAATGGAGGACGGCAAGAGATGCTCGTCGCTGTCTGGACCGCTGCCATGTGAGTGTCTCTGCTGGTGTCAGCACAGCTCATTACGGCAGATGTGTGGTGTGAAGAGGGGGGGGACGGGTGCTCTTACATTGATTTCAGTCACCAGGATGTCGGTGATGCTGCCCAACACTGTGACAAAGTCAAACACGTTCCAGGCATCCTTTAAGTAGCTCTGAGAAACAACAGTTGAAAATCATTCGCTGTTCTTTATTAGTCAGAATATTTAACGTTCTTTTATAAATGTTACTCACCAATGGACCAAAAGCAATGATCTTGAGGATACACTCCAGAGAGAAGAGAGTGGTGAAGACGATGTTCAGGTTCTTCAACATCGCTTCATAGAAGTCTGGAGCTCCATGGAACTGAAGGGCAGATAAACAGGTTTGGGTGTATTTGGGAAAATAAATGCTGTATATATATATATATATATATAGAGTATGGGAAATATTGCTTACTTGCTTTCTTGCTGAGAGTTATTTGATAAGATCATTACCTCTCTAAAGCGAAGCTAAAGCAACTTGTTGACTTACAGTAGCTCAGCTGCTGGCCATCAGAACCACCCATTACATACATGGCTTTATGTTTGGATGTTACCTTTGGACAGAGCCTGGCTAGCTGTTTGCAGTAGCATATCAACCTGAACATAGAGCTCAAAATGTTAAACTATTTCTTTCCTGAGCTAGTGAGTCCAGGACTGACTTCAAATGACAGTCAACTAAACTCTGCATTGTATAATTAATATCTTCTTCAGAAGTTCTTACCTTCATCATGAGTACGATGGTATTGAGAGCGATCATGATCATGATGGAGTACTCAAATGGAGGTGAGACCACAAACTTCCACATCCGGTACTGGAAGGACTGCGTGTTCTGGGGCATGTAGCGTGTCAGAGGTCTGGCGTTTATGGCAAAGTCAATGCAAGCCCTCTGGAAGAGAGAAACCACATCAGCTTCACTGTCTGCATTCTCTGACAGGAACTCTCAAACCTCAGTCGTTTAGTGATCATTCAAAATGTGCACTGGCTTCTGGTCCCAGGTGCATTATGGGTGTTATGGATAGTTGATAAGTATTAAATGAACATGCAGCTGTGAAATAGGCCAAGAACAGACTTAAAGATTATTGAAACCTTAAAAACAAGATGTCATGTTTTTGATGGTTGTTATCTCTGTTGTTCAGCATCTGCTGCGTTTTTGGCTTCCGACACAAAAGAGAAACCTGCATATGTCGGTCAAAACTGCCATTATGTGTGTTTATGGAAAAATCTAAAAAAGAATGGCTGCTGATGAATTGTTCATCATTTGAACCTGCTGGTGGGACTCACTAAAGATATTGCGCTGATGATATTACAGCACAAACACGGCTGTAAAGAACGGTGTCAGGCCGAAGTGTCAGCTGGTGATGGTCGGCCTGAGCCAGAAGCCTGTCGGGTCACGACTCTGCTCATTTAACTCCTCTGCTGTCATTGGGCATACACATGCTGCTGCTTGAAATGATACGTCATTAATGAGAACAATATATATTGAATTCTCTTATTTGAAGATTATTTTGGAGCGAATGGAGACATTGTTAGAGTTCATTAAACACATGCAGCAATCCCACCGCAGCAGGAATGATAAGAACATCTCCCCGACGTGAGAGACGAGCACATCTACGCAGGAGGCACAGCAGCGTAACGTCATGGATGTCATGCAGCGGAGCTTTATTCATTTATTGTTCATGTCTGTCACTGCATCCCAAAATAAATGAGTTTGAGCCAATGCTCCTTCTGCACTTCAGTTCTTACCAGCTCTCTGAAAACGTGACCATGTGACTGTCACTGTGATCAGACCGTTTCTGCAATGAGGCTCATTTGCATATCACTCACGTACACACGTGCATTCCTTCATGGTTTGTGTTCAGCTAATGTGAGAACTCATTCAACAACAATAAAAAATCTTTGTTAACAACATGTCATGGTTCTCCTCTCATTGATGAGGGTTTTCCACCAACCTGTATATCCACAGCAGCTGTGAGACTGTTTCAATGTTCTGTCAAAGGTCCTTTGACCAAAGCATCAAGAAACTAGCCTCACTCAAGGGGTCAGCATATTGTATAGCAGGCAATCCTACTCTACTACAATAAGCTTTGACTTATGTTTCATATTTAGACTTGTTTTTTGCTTACTTTCTTGAACTATGTGATGTGTTTGCTGGTATGAAACGAGGTGCACGCAGGTGGAGAATCATCCACTCAAACTGTAGCCGTATTTAAGCCACATTACCAGTCAGCACAACATGTGTTTGGTTCTATCTGAAAGGATATGAGCTCCTTAGTCTCCTTCATCTCCGACCATTACAAGTTCTCCTATGAAGGACAAACCTTCCCTAAATGTTTCATGCTAATCTGTTTGTAACATTCTGGAATATCCAGCAGAATGAGGTAAAAGGGTTGATGAAGGTAGTAATAAGAGCATCGTGTAAGCAGTACTGACAGCATGAAGCTCAGAGCTGTTGGTCATGTCTCTGCTTTACCTCGTTCTTCTCCAAGCTGCACTCAGACAGGGCCTTGTCTCCCTGCTCCTGGAAGGTGATGATGATGAGAGCAACAAAGATGTTAACAAAAAAGAATGGGAAGACCACAAAGTAGACCACATAGAAGATGGACACTTCTATCCGGTAGCCTGGACTGGGACCCGTGTCTTCAAAGGTAGCATCCACAGAGTGCTTCAAGACACTGCAGGGGAGAGCAGAGCAGAACACAACAGTAACACATCCAGCCTGTGATGGTATTCTCCAAGGTGCCAGTGCCACAGACAGACTGAAACTCATGACAAAGATGCACACAGCAGAAGTACATCTGCGTAACAGCACCAGCGGACCAGTGGAACAGGTGGCTTTATGAACAGCTAGATCTAGTCTCTGGCCTCAGCTGAAAGAGTGGCTGAGATTTGTTTTTGGCCGATTCATAAAGGGTCAGTTAAAGTGTCTTGGTGTGGCTCCTCCCCCGAGGCCTTGGGAAGGAGCTCCCTGGGTCACACCAACCCCTTCACCAGTACTTGACTTACATTTATGAACACCTGCTCCAGGTGTCAGATCTACCATGGATAGGCATAGTTCAACTATGAAAGCCTTCCACATGTCTGTACTGTAACCTGAAGAGGGAATCAAGTCAGCTGCACTCACGTGGGCCAGCCCTCCCCAGTGGAGACAGTGAAGAGGGTCAGGAAGGCCCACAGCACATTGTCATAATGGAACTCATATTTCTTCCACTCTCTGGGCATGGCGGCCACCTCGTCTTGGTCATAGTCGAGGAACTGCCCTCTGGAAGACATGAAGGCATAAATAAAGCACCAATGTCCTAAAGGTTTCTGAAATACGTCCTAAGGAAGTGGGGGGGTTTAGACCAACTTGCAGTCCTTTTCTAGGCCCTTGGACTCGTCTGTGCAGTAGAAGAATTTTCCCTTGAAGAGCTGAACTGCGATAACAGCAAAGATGAACATGAAGAGGATGTAAACAATGAGGATGTTCAGCACATTCTTCAAAGAATTGACCACACAGTCGAACACCGCCTGAGGACACAGAGACACACACACACATGTGATTTAGGGCTGAAGTGGGAAATCATTTTCAATATAGTTCAACAATATCATCTATTAATTATCATCGATTGTTGGACAGGATGCTGACATTGAAGTAAGCTCCATGTAGTCACAAAAACCTATAGCGATACATTATTAAAAGCAAAACAATGTAAACACTAAATTGCTTTAATAAAATGAAACATCATCAGGGCATGCATTGAGAGGTACTGTATATAATACTGTATATAATACTGTATATATCCAGTACAGGGTGCAGGCAGGGACACTGACAGACCAACCAGCTGGTTTAACTGACTGGTTGCAGCTGTGAGCTTGTGAACATCTGATGTGGTTCATGCTCATCTCATTTAAAGGGAATTTATAATGACAGAGTTTCTAAGCTTCGTTACTGGTTATAGACAGAGCACCATTGAGATTATAATCTCTGATTTATTATCGAGAGAAAAGGTTTGATGATATTCTGGATTTTTCATCCTGTCAGCAAGTCCCGTGTGCAGACTGGCACCAACAATGATTGCACCTCATACAAGTGTAGTGTGTGTATCAAAGCCCAAACCATCTTCTCCTTTGTGCCGTAGAACTCCGTTAACAACACACCAAGGAGCCATACTGCTGCACTGGCTGACGTGTTCCTTCATTGTCATGAACACACACAAAAGTCCCCTAAATCGCACAATGTCTACAAACGAACTGTTGGGCTGTTTTAGGAAGTTAATGAGCCTTTTCAACAGAAATGACTCAGTATATCTGTGAGTTCTTTTTGAGGCATCGTCTGTAAGAATTAATGGGCTTAGAGCCACAGTCAAACATTATTAATTGACAAAAGAACCCGTTGTAGGTCACTTGAGTTTGACTCTTTATTACTATCATACTCAAACAGTGATATTATATATCATAGGGCAGAAAACTAGCTGTGACAACAATAATTCCTGCCTTAATGAAGACAAATAAAGCAAAGAACCTTGAGCTTTGGCAGACGCTTGATGGTTTTGAGAGGCCTCAGCACCCTGAGGACCCTCAGAGACTTGATGGTGCTGATGTCTTTGCCTTTGGTCCCCCTGTGGAACGCAAACACAGTTACAGCACGCAGACGTATTGAGTTCATTAGATTTAGTTCTACTGTACTAATAATAATAAACAGCTCTCACAGGATGAATTGGTTTCCAGACCTTACTCTAACATGATGTTTCTCATTTTGACACACTTGTGTTAGTGAGGCACACTAAAAGAGGCTGTCGTGATAGCAATAACAAGGCATCCATGAGAAGTCCATTTAAAGTACAGAGCCGGAGTCAGGACGTGGTTAGCAGCCTAGCCTAGCTTAGCATAAAGACTAGAAGCAGCTAAAAAACGCTAGCCTGGCTCTGTTTGAAGTTAAAAAGCCCATCAGCACCTCTAAAGCTAACAATACCCAATAATGTAATGTTTTTACACGTTTGTACTAACGAAAAGTTTTGGTTAAATATTAATAAAAAATGTTAAAGTTGTGTCTTGTTCTTCAAATCACTGCAGACTTTTACTGTATCAGACCAAGACCGTGATCTTCATCTAACCTTAACCAAGTACAGTTAATGCCCAAACATAACCATTAAGCACTTTATTAATGCAGGAGTCAAGATCAAATATGTTGGTTGAAGATAAATAAACTGTGCTGTCAGTGGATTATGGAATGTACATTGTCATTAGTAAAATGTATGTTGAATATGGTCCAAGCATTTTATCAAAATAGACGTCACTGGAACTTGATAGTTAATCATTTTATTTTGTTCATATTGTTTATGGATGTGTAGTATGGTAGTATGGTAGTTTGGTAGTATGGTAGTTTGGCAGTATGGTAGTTTCGTAGTATGGTAGTTTGGCAGTATGGTAGTTT